GCTCCATCCCGTCCGGAGGGCCCTTTCCTGACCTGCCTCACAGGCCTCATCTCTCACCTCTGCATGATTGGCATGGCCACAGGTTTCCTGCCCAAACACGAGAGCCCATCTTCAAAGTAATAGCTTACAGCTGCTGCCGGGATAATCCTCATCCCTTCTGTCTTTGAAGGGCTGTGGTGACATAATAGCTCTGGCTGTTCTTTCCTAAATTCTTCTGCTGTCTCTCAGAGTGTTGTTCAATAGCAAAAGGGGAGTTAGGTGAGACTATTGCACGTGTTGCTAAATGTAGCGTGATTATCAAGCAGCATAAGCAGCTCCATACTCATCCCCTCTGCCCCCCTCCAACCTTCTCTCTTATTCTTCTGGTTTCCTTTTATCCCATCCAGTCCTCCTGATGCTTATCACTGCAGCAGAAGCATTAAATGTAATGTCTGTAGAAGGGCAATCACTGGCAACACATGGTGAGAGCTTAAGATGTTGTCACACTTTAAGTTGCCCATAATCTGCTCAAAGGGAGCGTGGATAGTTCTCCAAAGCGCTTGCAAAAACAGAAAGGATAGAAGATGAACGACACAGAGGCCGACGTTTCTCAGCTGCACTTTACTCAATTTAAGTGTTCACTTGTTTCTGGCCTTTGCCCACTTTATAATTGTTCTTTTTGTGTGTGTGTGTGGAGGGGTTGGGGGGTTGGGTCCTATCTGCTGTTGTTGATGCTGCATTTTGTGCATTTTCTTGCAAGCCTTACAAGCCTCAGCAGTGTGATAATCTGTCACGGAGAGAGAGCGACATCCTTAGAAAAAAAAAAGAACAGACAAGGGATTACAGGTATGTGGACACAGGATTAAAAAGAGGGATGTAATGATTCCTCCGGGAGTGAGGTATGTGCTGAGATGGCCTCTTCTTTTCATTTATGAGTCCCGTCCCGGGGAGGCCTGGGTAAATATTGACAGTTCTCTTGGCTTGAGATGCGGCAATTGATCCACACGGGAGGGTCTCATCACTTGATCTGTGCGCTCAGGTGTGGGAGGAGGAAAGGCGAGAGCCGGGACGCGACTGTCGCGCTGGTGGTCCCCTTTGTGGTGTCTTTTTATACTGATGCTGGTTCACCTCTGCAACACTGGAAGTCAAGTTACCGAAAGCAGCTCAACGTCCAGAAAGTGGATTTTAGGTGGATACAAGCTTTAATGTGATTGGTCACTGGGATCAGCTAGAGGGACAAAGTGGTAATTGATCACTTAAATCAGTTCAGGTCTGATTTTCAGTCGCAGCTACATCTTCTTTGATATCTTTAATATCCCTGTAGATCAGTGCAGGGAGCGGTGTCTCTTTCCTGGTGCAGTTTCCAGTTAAATACCGCCTGTTGATATGTTTTTCTCTCTATATATAAAATAATCATTTACATCTCCCTCTCTGTCTCCTGTTGGCAGCGGCCTGTTCCTCAAACCACTAATCAGGTAATGTTAGGGAGGTTGAATGGCGTGCCTCCCTCTGGTCAACCTTCACTGCTCACACAGTGGTGTTGTTTTAAAGAGCATTCTTTAGCAGCTGAACTTGGAAAGGTATTAAAGTGGGATTAGGCTCCTCCACAATCCACTGCTTGTGTCATTCAGGGAGTTTGTGTTCTCCGCTGCCACCTCCCCACTCCTCCTCTGTTTGATTGTGGCTAGCCGCAGGAGTGGGACTGACTGTGCCTTTCAAAGGAGAGGGGTAGGGTTAAATCCCTAGTCCACTGCTCCCTGCTAATTCTCCTTGTTCCTTAGAGAAGGATTTACTTCTGCTGCCAGCTTCTCAAAGGCCTTCTCTGCCCATCCGAAAAGTCGGCGTTGCCTTCCTGTGGAGGTGTGGTTGCCATAGAAGGGGCGTCATGCATGGCTTTTCCATCTGAACCCCACTGAGAAAGGGGACCGGGGACTGAAAACAGGCAGAAAGTCCGGATTAGACCCGAGGACAAAGCAGGACAGGAAGATTCCAGAAGGGACGAATGGGAATTACAGCAGCAAAAATAATGCAAAGTGACAGAGAGGGGAAATAGAAAAATAATGGCTTACAAGATTAGACTCGGCAAAGGAGAAAGAAGAAAGGAAAGAGGGCTGAATGAGAATGTTTTCATCTAGATGAGAAGATTTTAGAGAGCGGTCGTAGGTGAATACGGAGTGCTGGACATATCAAAACCGCGCTAATAAGTCATTTCCTCAACTTTTTGCGCTCTCTCTGAGCCTAAGCTGGCAACCTTTAGCCAAACAGACTTAGAGCTGGGAACTTTGTCTTGACAAACCCATCGCCTCCTTAAGATGAGCCCAGCCTATAACGATCCTTCTAAAACCTAGAAACTGGCCTATTAATGCGCCGTTTGCGGGAATAAGTCAGTGTTTAAAATGTTTTCTAATGTTCTAAATGTTTTTTCTAATTTATTTTTTATAAGCCAAACTGGGTAGTTTGTTTAGAAAACCGATCCAGGTTGGCAGGTCAGTTAAACAAGATCCATGTTTGTTTGAGAAACATGCCGAAATTTCTTTTTCAGGGGATTATCCTAGAGGTTTTTCCATAGTTCAATAATAATCTTCTTAACTTATTGTAATAAATGAAAGATTAAAGGATTTTATGAACCCAGAGAGTGCCTGGGCTGACATCTCTGTTGTTTTATAAAGAAAAGAAGATGCTCTGTCTAACCGTCCTTAGCTTACGGATCCAGGTTGTAATGCTCATTATGATGAATAGATGGATGGATATCTCGAAACTAGTAAAATAGGCTATTAATTGTTGTGAAGTGATTACGATGTTATAAAATGTAGCTCTCCCGATTGCGATCTGATGAGCAGCAGTGAAGCAATTATTTTAGAAAGCTGCAGAGGCAACAACAAAAACCAAACTTGCTACCAGCGTGCACACAGCTGTTCATACAAATGCATTTACATGTGTGAACACACACACGCACGCACACACCATATCACTACTCAATCAGTACCTATAACACCATTACCATAACAAAACCACCCTTTGGTTTCCCCTCTTCTCATATTTACACATTATATTCATCACTATCGCTCAACCCCGTCCCGAACCAGCAGATGATGTCAATTGCTCCTCTCACTACCTCCCTGCCTTGCACAATGAAATAGATGTTCACCACAAATAGATAGGCGGTTGCCAGCTGTCTTCCAGACCAGGGCAAACAAAGAGGCCACTAATAAATCCAGCTTTACGGCTGGACAAGATCAACCACACTCCCTGCCTCCTTGCTCCATTTAATGTGGCTTCTTCTAAACAACGGAGGGCAAATTAAATGCCACTCAGTCACCAATAAAACAATGCAAACATCTTCCTGAAAGCACATAAAAGAAGATGGAAGTGTTGTCTAGGAAATGGTGATAGAGGCAGTGTTGCGCCACAGAGGCACGATATTAGACGGTAAGATGAGATACAGACAGACCAGACCCACTAACCAGCAATGAATCATGATATGATATCTGATGCATATAGAGCATTGTGTGGATATGAAAGAAATGCATAAACTGCCAACAAAGGCTTGATTAAGATCATCAGGGTTTAGTAGTTGCTGCACTGGAGCATGATCTAGCCTGTTTGTTTT